ATGTGATTTTCCACGAGTTTCATGCCCTTCCTACGTTGGTGACTTTTCTGATTCCTTACAGTGACTGCCACAAAGCTAGAAATCACCAAGAGACTATGGGCGAGGCAGGGATGGAGGTGGGGCAGCCTGTCAGGAAGCCTGGCAGAGGAGGGCACCCTGGGGGAAGCCTGCAGGTGCCTATGGGGAACAGCAGACTTTGTCGGACCACAGCTTCCCCAGCTGGGCTCCCATGGGACTACCGCAGGGACTCGGCGCCCACGGTGCTCACTGTGGGAAAGCTCCCACTGTGTCAGGTGCCCTCAGCTTGGTACTGCTTGTCTATAGTTTCTTCCTCCAACAAATGCAAGAGGTGCCAGGCTTCTCCCAGGAGGCCAGAGTGCTGAGCTAGATGAAATCATGTTGCTTCATTCTTTACCTATTTGAATTTCTTTCTGTTCTAGAAAAAAAAAATTTTTTTTTCCTATCTCATTGGAACATCAGAGATAAAGAGAAAAGATCTTTCATCTTCTAGTTTATTCCCCAAATGGGCAGGAACAGCCAGGGGTGGACCAAGCCAAAGTCTGGAACCCAGAACTCTATGCAAATCTCCTCAATGGGTGGTAGGGATGCAAGGGCTGGAGCCACCATCTGCTCCCTCCAGATGCACAGCAGCAGGAAGCCGGAGCAGAAACAGAGCAGCTGGGACTCGAACCAGGCCCTCTGAGATTTGTTCCAAATGCCTGTCCTTTATTGCTTGCTTGATTCTCACAGGCAACAGAAGCACTATGATTTTGCATATCTTAAGAGGAACTTAGATTTCAGTAATGTGTTTAAATGTTTATTCTCTTAGGAGCTCTACATCTAGACATTTGTCCTGTGGAAACAAATACTTCATAAATATGGTGGCACAAATACATTTTCCCACAGGGTTACAGTGGCATAATCTATAACTGAAAATTGGGTACAAACGGCATGCCTATCTGTAGTTGACTAATTTATGACCCAGGCAATGTTCTCAAGTTAGGTACAGCTCTCACTAGAATGAGTGAATGAACATCTGCATGTCCAAGATGCATTATCAAGTGAAAAAGACAAAAAAGTTGCATTATGGTCTCACTGTGCTTTTAAATAACTGTACATCTACAGAGATAGTTTTAGAGACAAAACTCTAATGTTGGTATGGATTAAGTGGGGGAAACCTCTGCAAACTGTACCTGTTGGCAGCGAGAGGCAGAATTTCCCTAAGCTAAACTCCTGTGCACGGGGTAGCTGAATACAGAGCACTAAGTACGGGTGATGTTTTAGGATCAAAGCATGAAACTGCACAAGGAGACTCTGTATTATACAGTTTTGTAAGGAACTTTTCGATATAAGCACTTATTTGGCACTTGTGAAAAACTGATTTTGACTGTTGCAAAATTGTACAGATAAGCTCATGGACCAGAGGCCTTCCTTGGACTGCACTGGGGGGTGGGAAGGCCCCTCACAGGCTGGGGGTCTGACCCAGCAAGAAGAGCCCCTTGTCTTTTTTTCCAGGAACAAAGACCCTGACTGTGAAGAGGGTGGCGGAAGAATTGTGTCACATCACAGCTCATCCGTCTGGGAGGAAAAAAATGCCAATGCCCCCTTCCCCTGGGCGTGCAGGGGAGGGTGGGAGGCAGAAGCCCATCATGGCCTGAGCTGTGGTTCCCCCAAGTCCCTGCACCTGCTCTATCCCAGCCATGCCTCAAGTCAGTCCGGCTCACTTTATCAGCCCTTGGCTTCACTCTGCTCTTCTCATTCATCCATGCTTCCCTGGGCCTTCTCCCAGGAGCACGACGGGCCACAAGTGCCAAGTCAGGACACAGAGCAGTGCGCCTCCATGGCTCTGCAGGCTACTCCTACCACTGTGTGCCAGGAGTCAGCCAGACTCCAGCTCCCAGCCTCTCCTAGCCCCACCATACCAAGCAAAGGGTGTTGGACAAAACTCTCCAAGCCCTCCTGTATAATGGGGCAAGGGTAGCATTCAGCGCACAGACTTGAGGACCCCGGGGGAAAATGAGAACACATATGTGAAGGAACAGGGCAGTCCAGTACTCTGTCACATACCTTATCCCTTCATTCTCCTAGGACTCTAAGGCTGGGCAGGGTGTCACTTCCCCACCGCCCACACTCCTACAAGAAGCAGGCCTCAGTGGAGGGAGCCCAGGTCTCCTGACCTTCTGGCTGCAGGCTTTCTGTGAACTACGTTAATCCCTGTCTACAATGTGGGGTGCTCATTCTTTGCCCTAAGCTGAGCAGTCTGTCTCCGGGTACTCTCTGAAAGTCAAGACCCTCAGGAGGGTGGGCTGTGCACGACCAGGCCCTGCAGCCTCAGGGGTTTTCCTTGGCATGGCTCAGCTGCCTCTGAGTCGGCAACTCCACCATATGAGTCAGAGCTGCCTGCCCGGCTGCAGCCGCACGCAGCCCAGCTCCTGGAGATGGGCCAGGGAGACTCATGGCTTGCTCCAGACTGAGCTATCCTTCAGAGCAAGAAATGGCCCAGGGCACAGGAAACAGCCAGACTGCATGGGATTCCTTGGGAAGCTCAGCCTGTCCCCGTGATGTGGCCAGGGGGCCTCCACAAGGTTGGGGTCTCTGACTTGTACCTGTCCCACAACCCCTGAGTTGCTGCAGCTGACAACATGTGCAACTCCCCACCCTTGTCCAGCTGAGCCAGACCCCACCTTCCCAGCCACAGCCTTCTTCCTCACTCCCTCCCCTGGCCACACTGACCACCTCTTCCTCTTCCCTCCCCTCACATCTTGCTCTCCAAATCTTCCCCATTTCCTACCTGGCCCTGTTGGTGACTCACTGGGGCCTGGAATCCAAGCTTCAGTCAATGCCACTCACAAGCCATGCCAGCTGCAATCTAGGCTCACGGGTAGAGGAGGGAGAGAAGGAGAGCACCCCAGCTTAATAGCCAAAGCCCAGGCACGTGGTGGGGGGGCAGGCAGCAGTAAGAGCTCAGGCTCCTGGGCACCAAAGCCTCTCAACAGTTCTGCCAGCCCCATGCCCTCTGGTCCAACCCAGGGCCAGGCAAATCTCTGTGTAGGCCACCTGAGCCCCAGCAAGGGATGGGCAATGGAAACCACCAGTCTTTTGATGCAGGAAATGAGACTGAGAACTGAAGGTATCTGTCTGGACACTGGTGGCTGGAGGGAGCCCCACGTGCCCCATTCATACCCCCACCCTGCCAGCACAGAAGCCCACACACCAGAGAGACCAGAGTGAAAAGCACCAGGTTTAATATTAAAATGTTTCCCTTAAAAAAAAAGTATACAGATAGGAAAACTTAGCATAGAAAATAGCACTTCTGCTGTATAAATGTGAGTTACTGTGAGTCCTACCAATACTTGTAAACCTAGGTGAGTATATCTTTGGTACCATAGTGAGAACCCTCCTCCTTCTTAGGCCAGGCTTAGGAGGTTCTGGGGCAGCAGATGCCAGCTGGTGCAAGGGGCTGGCACCCACCAGGGTCAAGCTGTCCCCACCCTTTCCGGCCCCTCCCCTGCCAGAGATTTGGCCATAGCCAGGACTCACATAGCATATCTAATGCCCATTGGGATTGGGGACAGTGCTGCCTCTGGCAAGTGACAGGGCAATGCCCAAAGTACCCAACACACACACCTATTCACAGCACCCACTCGAGGCTTCCTGGTCCTTCAGGGACTAATCACCTTCACTGTTGAGCCTATCTGTGGCTCAGACTTGGACAGCAGGTGCCGGGATGATGGGCCCCACCAGGTCATCTGACATGTCTTCCAGGCCCCTTTGCCCATGATAAATTCAAAGGTCACTGCAGGTGTTGAGAAGGGTCTTGCCATATCCCCCTGGGAAGCTGCCAGGGGCTTTCTAGCACCCTGGCTCTCACTCCAAGTCAAGGCCTGGATAGCTGTGTTGCTGGGTACTAGCACGGATAGGTGGGGCGTCAGGGAGGTGGGTAAGCGGTAGTGTTCCTGAACCCCTTGAGGGTGAAGTGTGATCTGGGATCTCCCCAGGGCCCTGCTGACCCCGCAGGATCGAGAGCTGAGACAATTGACCTTGCTTCCTCTGGACAAGGAGCATCTCCTTGGAATATTCTGGAATGTTAGCACCAGGAGGGCACTTGGAGTTAATGAGTCCAACTTGCTCATTTTGCAAGGTCCAGGGAAAGCCAAGGATTCCTCCATGGCCTCATTGCAGGGCCACATGTTGATACATGTATGTAGTGCTTCATGCTGGCTTACCAACAACATACACCGCAGTCTTGGGGCCATTGGGCCCTGAAGTCCCTGGAGGTTATATCAAGGCCGAAGGTAACAAGGAAAAGTCCCCAAAAGGTAAGACATGGCCAAGTACATCCCAAATGCCCTTGGGTAGGGGCTGTGGGCCAGGGGCTCCTGTCCTTGGCTCAGTCCCCAGCGTTAATCAACAGCTTTCATTAAGCTCAGAAGGCCCCAGACCAGCTCGGACCTGGGGAGGGGTCTGCTGATGGGGAAGGGGAGTACCATTGTATAAGGCAGGCTCGAGCTCCTCAGCCAGGAGGTGATGCTGTAGCAGGTGGTCCTTCCCAGTTGGGGTGGATCAAAGTGCAAGGAAATGGCTGCTGCCCCATATGGGCCAGTTAGTGGGACCAAACAAGTGGGCTCTGTGCCTCATCCACCACAGGAATTCCCACCTCCCTACCTGCCCTCCACAAAAACAGGCCCAGACCATGGGCATTCACGCTTGACTCTGCCGTCACCCAGGTGGGGAAACAGAGTCCCTGTGGCCTCCCCAGGGACAGAGGGCTGGTCACGCCCCGCCCCCTCCCCATATACCAGTTCTCTTGCCTCCCAAGCCAGCCCCAGGGTCTAAGGCACAGCATGTCAGGGGCAGAGACTCCCAGAGGAGACCAGCTTGGCGGGAGGCACCTGCTAGGTAAGAGGCCCAGCTGAGCCAGATCAGGCTAGCAGGTACTACTGAATGCTGGGAGGCAGAAGGGGGTGCTCCAGGCTGGGCAGAGTTGGGGGCCAGCCCCCTCACAGGAAGCTGTCCTCCACTTCAGCCCGCAGCCCGAAGCAGTCAGAATCCGGCAGCTGTTCCACTTTGGGCTCAGACTCCACGCAGGCCTCCAGCTGTGGTTCGGCCTCTGCTTCTTCTTGGGGCTCCAGGGGGCTGTCGCAGGAGATGGTAGAAGATGTGTTGACTTCATTCAGGGTGGAGCTGGAGGAAGGAGGTGAGTGAGGGTCAGGAGGTGACACAGGAACAGGCAGATGACACTCACTATGAGTTTCCTATGCTCCTATTTGGAACACTTCTGCTCATGCAGTCCTCGTCAAGACTATGCAGGGGTCATACCAGGAGGCTCAGAGAGGTGTCATCCTCAGCTCATATCACACAGCAGGTGAGCCCCGAGTGTGTGCAATGGACTCCAGAGTTCCTTCTCAACCAGCAGCATCTAGCCTGTCCTCACTTGACAGAAGATGGAATCAGGGCTCCCACTTGCCTAAGGGGGCAGCGCTGCGCCAGCATTCACACCCCTCGCTAGCTGACCTCTGTGACTCCTCTGTGCCATCTCCCTGGAGCCTTGGGTTGTTAGTCTCCTCTCTGGGCCCAGCCGAGAGGTCTGTAGGGCTTGCCTGTTCAGGCCTGCGTGTGCCACCTGTGCCTGTGCCCAAACTGAGGCTTGCAGGGGAGAAGCCTTCTCCCACATCACCCTGGGCTGGACCTGGTCTTGGGGTGGGCAGCCCTCAACTTTAGCTGAGGGCAGATCCTGTCTCCAGGTCAATTCCAGGCAACAGCCAGGCCTCCCTGCATCCCAAGGTAAGAGGAAGATGACCAGCTTCCTCCATGTCTCAGGTCCAGCCTGAGCTCCTAGAGCTGCCTTTTCAGCCAGGCTGGGCTCTCAGGGGGCCTCAGGGCCTGTTGCTGGAGGTCAAACCATAGGCCTCAGCCTGACCATGACCCCATAGCTATGACCATGGTGCTGGGAGTCCTGCTCCTTCAGGCTGGCACAGGACCTATCGGGGCACCCTTAATGTACAGTACTTGCAAACGAGCCCCGCCCCCTTCTGGGACTCATTTGGCACCTGATGGCATCCAACGTGCCATGAGTGGGCTTCTTGGTCATGTTCATTCATTGGAATAAGCATTCCCCCTGGGCCACGTACACTCGAGCCAGCCCGTCCCTACACGGATGCACAGACATATGGCCATACACACTGTGTATGTGTATTGCAGCTACCTGGCAAGACTGGGGGAGCCCTCCAGGGGGCCCTCATCAGCAACCTCGGGTTTGGGGTCTGGCAGGGGGATGATGTAGTCGTTGTCACCCTCGTTGGGCTGCACGGCCGTGTAGAGGACAGAGCTGGTGTCCAGGGGGGACCGGAGGCCATGGAACCCGGGCAAGCGAGCCTGAGACCTGAGGATGGCTGGGTGGTCGCTCCTAAGAAACTCTTCATCCACTTGCTGGTACTTCTGCTCCGCCAGGCAGAGGGTAGGAGGGGAGAGGAGAGAGAAACAGAGATGGCTTCAGACATCAGTGTACACAGGTCGTTGGGGCTCAGGGAGAGAGGAGGCTTGCTCAAAATCACTCAGCCAAGCAGCCCTGGCTCTCCTCCTGGCTGCTCCCAGAGGATGGCTCAGAGAGAAGCAGGGGCAGACAGCCCCTGAGACCCTGCCTCTGCCCCACAGCAGGGCAGCTGGCAGCTCTAATGGTCTTCAGTCTCCCTCACCATGAAATGACGAGGACTCCCCTCCACCTCCTGGTCCTGGGGTGTGCAGTGAGGAAGGGACCTAAGGGAGGTGGGGCTGTGTCTGGGCTTCTCCTCCTCACCCTGTCACCTGTGGTATACAAGCATGGTCTCAGGGTCCTCCTAGCTCTGTGTGCCCATATGGCCAGGCTGCCAGTGGTCCTCTAGCCCTGGGGGGCGGTGCTCCCACTTCTGAAGGAGCCCCAGAATCTGGCATGGATGCACAGGCCTCAGCAGGGGTGCATGACCTCCTCTCCACGTCAAGTCAACCAGTACCCCCATGGGGTTCCACTGTAGAGCTCTCTGTGCCCCCAAAACCCAGGCAGCTCATTGCTCCTGGCCACTCCTTCACAGCAGCTGTAGTAGAGAAACCCATGCCCAGAGCAGGAAATGGCTGGCATTTCCTCCAAACACACAGCCGTGGGTTTGTCAGCTGACTTCTGGATCCCTAACCCTGCCTCAACTTACCTTTTTGTAACCCTCGCCCAGCAGTCTCTCGAGAAGCAGCACCAGCTGGGAGAAAGGGGGTCGGATCTCAAACTTCTCTTCCCAGCACTTCTGCATGATCTCATAGCTGGGGAGAGAGACATGGGCTTAGGGTGCAGGGGAAGGGCTAGGCTGGGCTGGGGTGGGGGCTGGAGGCTGGCACCTCTGGGAACAAGGCAGCCAGGGCAGGGAGAGGGCAGGGTGATGGGCAGATGCCGTTTCCTGTGATCGTTGTGGCTGTCCCCCAGGTACCCCTCTTCTGTGCAGTCACATGGCATCAGCCACAACTCAAGGAGCCCATGAGTTCGGCCCGTAGCAGCCGTCACTCTCTCTGCTCAGTGGCAAGCTCTGGATGGCATATGAACCTGGCTGGGCCCAGGAAATGTTGGCTCTGTGACTTTTCGCTGGAGCTACAATGCCAGCAGTCAGACAGGGAGTGGTGGGGTCAGCCTGGAAAGGATGCCAGCACAGAAGAAAGCAGAGCAAAGCCAAGGGCTGGGGCAGCCCAACACCCTGCTCCACAGTGGCTTAGACATTTCCCTGTCTCTGAGCCAAGGGCTCTGTCTTTGGCCTAAGTCAGTGAAAGCTGAGTATCTGTGGCTCGCACCAATGGGGCAGGAGGGATGCCACACTTACATCTCATCAGAGGCGTGTGCAGGCTGGGCCATACGGTAGCCCCGCTTGATGGCGTTGTAGAACTGCTCATTCATTGGCAGTTCTGGGTACGGTGTGCCACCTGTCGAGGAGCAGAGACAGAGGACCCACAGGCTTGAGGGACCCTCTTCCTCTACCAGGTACCAAGGGGCAGGTTGGTGGCCCCCAGGGGGGTTAAAGGGATGGGTCCTTGGCACTGGGAAATGGGGGCTGCAACCCTCCCCAGAACAGAGACTCCAAGAACACCTGGCCCAACAGGGCTCTTGCGTTGTCACTGCCCAAGCCCGCCCTCCCCCAACAGCCACATGCAGAGATAAAGGCGTTCCCCAGGGAGACAGCCAGGGGCTACACAGCAAGGAGTAGGCAGCAGAGCTTGACCCAGAGCCTGTCCCATGGCTGGGTGGACAATGTACCGGGGGGCTGTGACAAGAGGGGTACCTACCCAGGGTGAAGATCTCCCAGAGGAGGATCCCGAAGGACCACACGTCGCTCAGCGTGGTATAGAGGCTGTTGAAGATGCTCTCTGGGGCCATCCACTTCAGAGGCAGGAAGGTCTGTGGGCAGGTGGGGATGGGCTGAGTGCACGGAGGGTACAGTGCATAGGGCAAAAGCAGGAGGCCTGGGGCTCTGGGGCACCAAATGCCTGTACCCATCACAAAACCCTTGGAGGACCTGAAAGCTGGCTCCTTGCTCACTGGGTGGAGCCAAGTTTCAGGGTCTTAAATTCCTCCCAGAACATGACTGCCAGCCCCCATCACTCTCTTCCCCAGCCCAGTGGGGCTGCCTGGAGAGACAGGTGAGGGTGGGTAGATGTTAGGGAAGCCAGAGACATGCCAAGGTAGCATCGCCTAGCTCTCATCCTGGCTGCTTTCCACTCCAGCAAAGTGAGGAGATGTACGGGAGGCAGGATGGACATATTAAAAAAATAATAATACTAGGGCCAGGTGCAGTAGCCTAGCAGCTAAAGTCCTCGCTTTACATGCACCAGAATCCTATCTGGGCACTGGTTCTCATCCTGGTGTCCCTGCTTCCCATCTAGCTCCCTGCCTGTGGCCTGGGAAAGCAGTAGAAGACATCCCAAAGCCTTGAGACCTTGCACCCGCTTAGGACCCTGCACCCACATGGGAGACCCTAAAAGGCTCCTGGCTCCTGGCTTTGGATTGGCACAGTTCCAGCCATTGCGGCCTCTTGGAGAGTGAATCATTAGACAGAAGATCTTCCTCTCTGTCTCTCCTGCTCTATGTATATCGGGCTTTCCAACAAAAATAAATCTTTAAAATAATAATAACAATAATTGTGTCTATTTGAGAGGCAGACACAGAGCATGTTGCAATGGCCCTGAGTCAGGGGTCAAAGCTGGGAGCCTTAATCTCCCTCAAGCATGGCAGGGACCCAACTACTTAAACTGTCACATGCTCTCAGGGTGCCCATTGTTACAAAGCTAGAATCAACAGCAGAGCCAGAAGCAGGCACTCCGGTCCTAGATGGGGGCATGCCAAGTGGTGCTGTAACTGCCAGCCCAAATACTGGTTCTGGATGGTCACCTTGTGACTAACCAGCTCCTGCCTGCAACCTGTATTTGTTGTCCAGTATCACCTGGGCTTTTTCCTCTTCCTGCCTCCCCTGGCCGTATCTAGCTAAACATCTATCTTCCTCATCTCCTGCTCCAGGCTCAACTGGGTGGCTTCCCTTCCGGTCCCTTCCTACACATCTGGGCAGGCCCAACCCATCATGGCTGGACAAGGACAGGACACAAGAGCCCCACACCAAACCCAAGAGCCATAGGCACACAGAGGGAGTCAGTTCCCAGGGGCCCTGAAAAGGCTCTCACGCTGCCTTTGGAGATGTAGTTCGAGTCCCGCATGATGTCTCGAGCCAGGCCAAAGTCGCAGATCTTGACTAGCTTGCCCTCACAGATGAGCACGTTCCTGGCTGCCAGGTCTCGGTGGACGCACTGGGGGCAGGAGCAGCAGGGACAGTTGTAAGGGGGAAGGCCCTCTCCATCGAGGCGTTGCAGAAAATACATCATCATCATACAGGGGGTAAGCGCCCACCCCTCCCCATCCCAACAGAGGGGCTGTAGGCATTGGATGGGGCCCTGAACTTGGAGGATTCTGGCCATGTGGGGAGCCCCCTCCCCCAACCCAAAGACCACACGTACATTCTTAGAGGCCAGGAACTCCATGCCGTTGGCCACCTGGTAGCTGAAGCCCACGAGGTCCGTGTAGCTGAGCACAGGGGACTCATTGATCAAAGTTGCCCTGTAGGTTCTCTCGGGGGCTGTGTGGACAGGGGGTGCACAGAGGGTCATGGCCATCCCAGGTCGCCTCATGGCCTACCACCAGAAGACCCCTGCCCTTGGGTGGCTCCTGGGAGTGAGGGCCCCAGGCACTGGTTACCCAACATGAAGGTCTGCCTGAGAGCAGACTGGGCCTCTTGCTATTTAACCTAAGCCACACCCACTTCATCCGTGCTGTCCTTGGTGTTAGCCCGGGGTCACCCTTGCTCAGCCTGGCCTGCTTGCTTCTAGGGGAAACCAGCACAACCCAGGGGGTAGCTGTGGACAGATCATTCTGCTCCTAAGCCTCAGGAGGTCCTGTGCTGCCCACCCCCCACCCCAGGCTCCCACCCCAGCCCTTTACTCCTCTGAACTCAAAACTAGGATTCACTAAGTATCAGCTGTGGGCAGGTGACCGGCCTCAGTGCCCACATCCACGAAACGGACATACGGCCACTTTCCTCCCAAGCGACCATATGAGGCTGGGCATATGAGAAACTGAGGGGCATGCCTCCCCATGTCCCGGCACATGGGGGGATGCCATGTCCACCCACCAGAGGGGACGTAGTTATCATAAGGGGCCATGTAGTTGGAAGATTCGATGTCTGCGTATTTGACGTCTCCTTTCATGTCCAGCATGGGCACGTAGTCCACCGATTCATCTTTGCTCATGTCCATGTAGCCACCGTCACTCTCCCCCGTCAGCGACACGTGGCTGGAGGCAGAGGACATTGTAGGAGAGACCTCAGGCTTTCCCTGCTCCCCCTGCTGCCCCTCGCTGGCCTTGTGTCATTCACTCTCCTTCAATGGGCCCCTGTGGAAATGGCCACAGATCTGCCCTTTCAACCCCACATCTGCCCTAGCAGGCATCTTCAGGGAGCTCCCACGAGAGGCAGCTATTGCCCCGGGTGGCAAAAAGGGCTACAACAGTTGCATGTGCAAGGAGGTACCTTCGTAAGGCCCTACAGCACTACCACGCCCTGGGCCCCAGGCGGGCCAGCCACAGCCTTGCGTGGGTGGCACAGCCCAGTCTTGGGATTTTGCCAGCATTCGGTGCCCCATGAGCTGTGTGGCTGGGCATGCGTGTCTCACTGGGTAGGAAGACAGGAAGGAAACAGAGCCAGCGGTTGGGCTGAGTGTTCCTGTCTTCTGCCTGCTTTCTGGGGTTTCTCTTGTCTTTACTGAGGTGATCGGCAAAAGAACTCATATGCAGTCTTTTTGAAACTGGGAGCTTGATGCTGGAGGGGCACGGGGGAGGGCCAGGGGGGAAGGAAACAGGAAGCTGCTGCCACTCCGAGGCCTGGTTCTCACCCCACCCCAGCAGCTGCCCTCTGTGTGCCCCGAGGCAGGACAGCAAGACATGCACAGCACAAGGCCAGTATGCTGGGTCAGGTTTGCAGATGGCATGGCACAGGGCCTGGCACACTGGCACAGTCAGTGGGTGGCACTCCTGTCATTCCCTTAAGTGGCCTAGAAACCTATCCAACAGCCATGGCACCCACCACCACCACCACCACTTTCCTGATGTTCTCCCGCTTCCTCTCTTGTAAGAGGAGGCAGCAAGCAGGTGCCAACCCCCATTTGCAACTCAGGGCACCTGGGCAGGCGCAGGCCAATGGGCAGGGCATTGCTGTAGAGCTCGGCACTTGGCGGGCGGCGCTTGTCAGAGTGGTGCTGCAGGAAGGTGTGCTTGTTCCGGTGCAGGTAGTCCACCAGGTCGCCATAGCGGCAGTACTCGGTGATGATGTAGATGGGGCCTGCAGAGGGACCAGGCTCAGGGTCAGGATGCCAGGAACAGGACTGATGGAGGAGACCTGGGCTGCCTTCCTGCCGCAGTGACTGGAAGCAAGGTCCTTAGTCTCCCTGGTACTTAGTTTGCACATCTGTTCAATGGGGCAGACAATGCCCACCCAAAGGATGAATGAGATGTTTCTATCTGCAAGGCACGTGTCGAGCACACTGTCACCGATGTGTTTTCAAACCAAAGCTGACGACGGAGCCCGTTGGCAAATCAGGGAAACTATTTAGCATGCTTAGCTTACGGGTTATGGGCAATTCAATGCATTTACTCAATCAGGAAGAACTTGAAGACACTGATGAAAACAAAACTTTAAAATGACTGATCACGGAGGTTCTACGGCAGCCTGAGCACGCAACTTACTTCTGTATTTTGTTTTGCTTACACAATAACAAGGAAAATCCCAAATAGCATAACACACAGCTGCAGATAGTCATAACTTTTTTTTTTTTTTGCCAGTCTGACTTTCAAATAAACACAGTTAGCCAGAGAGAGACTCTTCCTGGATCTAAAAGAAAGCACTCCGGTGGCCTCTAACGGTGGGTACCCAAAAGTTAACGGGAAATGGATACACCTGATAGAACTACACTGGGAAGTCAGAATTTTTGTACCAAAATAAACCTATCATTGTACTGTGTTCTCCTCAAACTTTCTGAAGTAGCCTCATATACCTCATCCAAGGGTCACTGTTACAGCTCACAGTTTGCAAAATACACCGTGAAAAGAAAATCGGCAGACACCTGGATTTGGAAATGACTGTGAAAGTGGTTTTGATTTGGTCAGTTTCCAGATCTTTGCTGTCTGGGACTGTGAAGTGAGGGTGCGTGCTGGGGTGGGTGGGGACCCTCCAGCTCGAGTGTCCTGGATTTCCATGACCTATCTGAGGGTGGGAGAAACCAAGTGTCTTGCCCGAGTTCTCCGGGGCGTGGGTTTGGTACCTCCTTTGGTGCAGGCCCCCAGCAGGTTGACCACATTCAGGTGCGGCCCGAGGTGACTCATGATCTTCAGCTCCGACATGAGGGCTTGCTTTTCACTGCTCCGGGCTGTGGCTGAGGGGAGGGACCCCAGGCCTGGTTGGTCACTGGGGTTCTGTGGCTGTCCCCCAGGCACCTCTCCTGACCCTCCCCATGCTGGGAGACCCAAGTGGCTGAGGCCTGGGAGGAGCTGCAGTCTAGGGAGGGGAAGGAGGGTGGTGAGGCGGGAAGGAGAAGCGGAGCAAGCAGGCCAGGGTAAGCAGCCCTGGAGGCTATGGTGGTTGCACTGTTAATCCTGGGACTGAACGCGCCTAGAGGGTCCCCAGAACTCACATTTCAGCATCTTCACAGCCACCTTCATGGTGGCCTGCGAATGACTCAGGCCATGGGCCGTGGCTTCCACGACCTGCCCGAAGGCTCCAGAGCCGAGGGTGCGTCCTGTGGGAGATACGACCCCTCAGCTCGTGGCCCACCTAGAAGATGCACCACCCACCCAGCCCATCCTCCCCAGCCAACCTGGACAATCCTGCCATCACTCTGGACTTAACAGCTTCCTTCGAGGAATTTCCAGAAGCCACAATCCCTCCCAGTCCTTCCTGGAGTCTCACTTAAGTGCTGCCTGCTTTCTGTTCCCTTTCCCACCTCAAGGGCATACTGCTTCCCTGGGTGCCCCCCACCCCAGCCTCCCAAGCTGGATGAAGCTGGGCATGTTCCGTTGCCTTAAAGGGGTCTCAGAGTCTCAGGACCTCGTCCGTGACCCTCACACCAGAGGCAGTTACTGACCAAGCACAAGCTGGTCCCGCGGCAGCTCCCACGTGGAGTCATAGGGCAGCTGCATGGGGTCCACATAGATGTACTCGTGGCCATCAGAGCTCACAGATTCAATCACTTTCCACCGGATCTCGTAGCGTGGCTTCTGCAGGACCAAGACCAGGAAGGGAACGTCAAGGCAGTGGTCTCGACCTTGAAGCCCACCAGACCAGCCCCGGAGACAACACACAACACAGGAGACCCTGGAGTCCAGAAAGGGGCAGCATCGTATCTCAAGTCGCACAGCAGTCAGCTGCACCAATGCCAGTGGGGCCCAGTGGAGCCATGACAGAGCAGCCTGGGGGAGCTGGCAAGCCAAGGAGCAGCTGGGAGCAGGGTTTCCTTTGCCAGAACCAGCTTCTCTCAGAGCCCCAGCTGCTCCTCAGAAGGGAGGGCAGGTGCAGACAGCCCCAGAAAGTGGCACAAAGGAGAGGGGGCTCTCTTGGTTGCACACAGGTCCTCCCAGGCTGGGTTAGTCAAACAGGCAGCTCAGGATGTTGGAAAAGTAGGATGCAGAGATCACAAAACTAGACCAGGAAGACAGAATCAGGGATCTTCAAGCACTGAAACACCACTGGCAGGATGAACAGAGTGGACTCCAGAAGGCCCCGTGGTGGCTGGAAGCACCCTGAAGCCCATGTGGTCCCCCCAAAGGGGCCATGCCCTGGGAAGAGAGGGATGATGCCTGAGCAGGGGTGCTGGGGAGACGCAGTCAGGGCAGGAAGGCCTGGCTGGCTTGGGCAGACTAGGCTGGGCTGCTGGCGGTGGAGACAGCACAGACACCCAGTGACATTCTGCAGAAATCCCAGCCTGAGCTCCACCCTGGGCCCACATGCGGTCACAATCATGCAATCTTCCAGAAGGGCCCATGCCAGGCCAGGCTGGGGTGGGGCTCACCTTCTGCCAGATCATGATGAGGATGATGAGGGAGACGATCGTGAGCACCACCAAGGCCAGGATGGCTGAGATCACCACCACTTTGAAGGGCAGAGCTGGAGGCAGTGAGCAGAGTAGGCCATCAGCAAGCAGGGCCTGGGCATACGGCCTTGCAGGTCATCTCCCACCCCTGCCCCGCCCAGCATGTCAGTCTCGCAGCCTCTGGCTAGGGGCCACACCATTGGCTTCTCTAGCAGACACCCCTAGAACCCTCAGTACCCATCCTACATCCCTGCCGGCCTCCACTTCCTTCAGCCCTTGCTAACCCTTGCCAGGGTTAGCCCGGCCTTTCTGAGCAGCCCCAGACTACGTGCAGAACCCTCCCCTCTGTCCTGTCCATGACCTGGACTGCCCATGCAGCTGAGAGACCCTGCTCACTCCCCTCTGAAGCCATGCCTGTATACTTGGCCAGCCATGCCTGACCCAGTGGCCAATGGCCTAAGTGAGCAGGAGGCTGTACCCATGGCCGCCAGAGCCCAGGGGATGGGGTGGTGATGACCGTCACTGTGAAGTGCATCCACCAGGGCCCCTCATGAAACACAGGCTCCACCCTGGGACCCCCAAGCCTCAAGTCTCCTTTATGCTTGCTCTGTATACCTTCCCACCTCTCCACATCTACCCCTGCCAGACCCTCACCACCCAGCCCTGCCCACTGTGCACTCATACACTATAACCCCTGGAGACTTTCCCTGCCCTTGCCCTTCTCTACTCCCAGAGAACCCTGTCCTGCCTCCCCTGGTGGGGGTGGGGTCTCCTCCCGGGGTTTCCTGTTCAGGGACCAGGCCCACATCACTCTGCACCAGCCACACATCTGCCCTGGGAAGCTTGCCCCATCTCTCTAAGGGGAACCTCTCTCCACACACTCCCACTGCCCGTGAAGGGTACATGATACCCCCTCAAACGCATCACACGACAGCTTTAACCTCTGCTCAGAGCTGGTCAGCAGGCCAGTTGTCCACACTGTCTGCTCAGGGACACGTGAGCATATGTGGAAGAATGGGCAGTAGGAAATTCATCCATCCATCATAGGGCAGATGCACCAGGAAGCAGGGCCGCGCACACAGAGGCACGAACATGTACAAGACTGTCCAGGGACTAGGCATGCTCACACTGACATTCACACACACACACACAGAGCAGCTGGCACAGCTGGCCAGGCATCCTGCATGCATGCCCACTTGCTAGCTTCACACATGTGTCTCTAGGCATCGGGTGCCTCGCAGCAGCCAGTTCACAGATCTGCACATGGAAAGGTTACACCCGTGGCACACAACGCACAGACAAGCTACACACAGCACAAACACGGTACTGTTTCTCATACACCGTTTATAGACTCATGCTTGCCCACACGTGTGTGTGTCCATCCCACGTGGCACATGGGAATGCCAACCAGCTTCGCAATGCTCGCAGCTGCTCACGGACATGCAGACACACGGGCAGAGTCACAGGGCCGGCAGGGAGGCTGCGGAGGGTGGGGGCTGGTCAGCGGCCCCGCCGAGGCTGGGGGACTCACAATGCGGCACCACGGTGACCTCCTTGCTGTCGTAGTCCCGCAGATTGCGCAGCATGCAGCGCACAGACAGGGGCTGGTCCACGCGGCGCAGGCGCAGCGTGCTCACCACCTCAAACTCCTGCTCTTCCACCCAGTATGTCACGTTGGTCTCCAGCTGGCTCTCATCCTCTGAGCGGTTTCCCAGCGGTGTGGGCGGCAGCTCAGAGGGGCACCTGCAAGTTGAGTCGTGAGTGGTAGCCGTGTCCAGTCCATGCTTTCCCAATCCAACTCCCTACCTAGGGCTTGAGCACCGGGCTCTCTCAAATGACCAGCAGGGGGCGATCTCACTCTACAACAGAAAATTCCAAGATTGCAAAGTCCACTCTGGCTTGACCTCGCGGGGTCACACAACAGGGGGTATGTCAGAACTAGAGGCAGAAGCTGAACTCAACCCTCCATGCAGCATGTAAGAATCGGCCCTGGTCTGGGGAGGTGTCGGGGAGGGGGGGCACTTGGGGGTCAAGGCCAGGAAAAGGCGCAAAGGTAAATAAATCACGTAGGGTTCAAGGAGGTGGCAATCCTTTTAGGATACAGCTGTAAGCTGGGGCAGAGGGAAGGGCAGGACAGAGGCTGGCCAAGGTCTGCTCACCTTTTGAGGTCTCTGCAGGTGAACCAGGTAACGTTTGGCTGAGGCATGCCTCGGCCGCGACAGCGGACTACCTGCTCCCCGCTGGCGGGATGGCTCTCACTCAGCTCCAGCACACGCACAGGGACTGCACAGAGAGGGGGACAGGGTCAGGAGGTAGGGTGGCGGGGGGTCAGCCCACTCAGTTAGCAGGAAGGGCTCTTAGCGGGGGACTTGGCCACACCCTCTCCTGGGGGAAGAAGGCAAGGTAGCTGGCTGTAGGTGAGCCTGAAGCCCCAGGAGGGCTCCCCACCCGCACAGGGCACTTCCAAAGGGAGGCCTTAGGAAGGGGCTGCTGCGTCTCCAGCGCCTCTCTGAGATTGCTAATCTCCCCTTTTAACAAGAAGGGGCAGCCAAGCTCCCAGAGCAACAATCGCACTGGCTTTTTTTTTCTCTGAGTTTATTTTAGGGGCTGCCTTTTATTTATGACATGTGATGCTGATTTTCCATCTGCCATTGAGAGGTTCCATTTTGCCTTTCAAAAGAAGTTTATTCTGGGAGAGCCAACAGACAAAACATGAAGTCATTATCCCGTCATCTTTCGACTCAGACCTATCCGTCGGCCCTTCATCTCAGGCACAGTCAAGCCAGGCCAGGCTCATGGGAACCTGCCCTCCCTCTCACCCCAACACACACACACACACACCCTCACCCCCCACCCCCGACCTCACTTCCTATCTCCCTCCATGTCCCTCTGTCCTGGCCATACAGGTCTTTGTGCCCTTGCTCTGGCTTCCTCGGTCCTGCATGCAATACCCTTTCCCCAAATATCCACTTGGCCAATCCCCTCACCGACTTAGAGTGGTTGAGCAAAAGTCACCTCCTCCTTGAGGCCCGCCTATGCCCAACATTCTCAATCCCTCCTACTCTGCCTTTTCTTTCTCCCAGGCTGCTTGCTACTCTGTAACCTACAGCAATCTCAGGCATCCTCCCTTCTGCTTTAATGTTTTCTTCTCCTGCTAGGAGAGGCAGGACACAGAAGCTGGGCCTCAGGAACCGCAAACAGAGTGTGGCTGCTCAGGAAATGCCTACTGAGTCATGGTACTGCATGAGTGTGAGGCAAGGAACAAAATGGACAACTTCAGAACACAGATGCCTGCGGTTTCTGGAATACTTAGTGGGCTTAGGGCTGTCTCGGACAGATGAGGAAGCTGAGGCCCACAGAAAGGACATGCCTGGTTTACAGAGTCTCCCCAGCTCCAGCCTTCCTCTCCTGCTCCCTCTGTGGGTGGGGGAGAGAAGTGCAGGAAGGGGCAGGGGGTTAGGGGCACCCCTCACTCACCATTGACCTGCAGTTGGAAGGAGAGCTGGGCCTCGGCGTCCTCGTGGAAAGCACGCATGGTGTATTTGCCGGCCTCTGCCACCTTCACCCGCACCAGTGTCAGCTCTGACACATACCTAGGGTGCAGCACAGGCCAGGAGGACCAGCTGTCAGGATAGAAGAACTCCCCCAGCCCCATCCCCTGGCCCCCACAACTCCCCTGTACACACAGGAAAATACAACCCTGGGGATCACACAGGTGTTAGCAGTGCAGCCATTGGAACAAGAGGGAGGCCAAGGAGGGACTGGGAGGGACTGGGAGGGACTGGGAGGGGGCTGGGAGGTGTGGAGAGGGCCTTCCTCCCCTTCCTGACATGCTTTATTCCCCACCAACATCTGCTAGTGTCTAGCTCAGGTGCTTCCAGGAGGCAGGGAGAGCCTGCCTGCCCCTTCTCTGCCCCTGTCCTGCTCATAGCAAGGTTAACTTAGGAACAGGGTGACCACGTGGCCAGCGTCTTTGTTCCCTTGCAGGCGGGACGCCCAAGGAAGGATGACCCTGCTCTGATGGCTGCTGCAGCCTCAGTGCCTTGCAGGACGCATGACCTGAAGCAGGCTCTCTGGGAAGGTCAGGCCTACATTTTCAAGCTGCTGCTTACCGGGTCTCTGACACATTGCGTGTGGACAGGGCGATCTCGCCGGCACTGGAGTCGCCCAGGGTGCGGTTGTCCTTGAACCACAGGACAGTGGGTGGAGGGTAGGCCTCGAACACCACCTGCAGCGTACGGCTCCGGTGCAGGTCAGCGAATTGCAGTGCACCCAGCTCTCCCAGCAGCCGCACATAGCCGCTCTCTGCAAGGGGCAGGCTGTCAGGGCAGGGCCCCACTGGCTACCCATGGGGCAGCACTTCCCAGGAATGGGGCATCAGTGGAGCACCCAAGGAATGCAGCCTTCTGGAGGTGGAAATGCATGCTCTACAACTGTGGATGCAAAGCAAGCCGGGATGCAGGCTAAGGTGGAACTTGGGGTTACTGATGTTGGGACCAGCTTTGAGGCTGGGCCTGCAGCTGAGATTCTGTGTCTCAGCTAAGCTTGTTTGGTGGAGGGGGCTGCCTGGTGGTTGGGATTAGAGATCACATTGGAAATGGAATTCTGGTTAGGCAAAACGAGTAGGTTGGGATGAGGGGCAGATTTGGGTCTAACACTGCCCTTCGGTTTTTGGGGGGATTCAGTTGGCATGGAGGATGGCCGCCTGTTCTCTGTGTCCAGCCCAGACTGGGGGGTGGGGACAGAGCCCAAGACACCCACCAACCACAGTGACATTGATGGCCTTTTCATCCCGGTGGTCGTTCACGCTCTCTGACACGTTGCACACGTAGGTGCCCGAGTCGCCCGTCTCGGCATTGGGGATGTGCAGAATGGAGCGGATGTGGGAGGGTACATCAAACAGGAAGTCAGTCACTGGCTCCACCAGCCGTCCACTCTGCAGGTAACAGTGAGGCAATCCCCCACACCAAAACAGGGGGCCCATGAGAAGTCAGCAAGCTGCGGCTCCCATCCCTGCCTGGCCCCACCCTCCTCCCAGCCCGGGGCCTGCATTACCTCCTGGCGGGGGTACCGCCACTCAAAGTTAACCACCTCGTTGCCGGTCACAATGCACATGATGGTGATGTTCTCACCCTGGCGGACCACAGTCTGCACCGCGTTCACCGAGACATTGATGGATGACACTGCAGGAGAGACACGGGTCCAGAGAGGACTGAATGAAAGACGGTCATTCACCCGATCCCTACTGGGTGAATCCATTCAAGGACTGCTCAGACACTGGGAAGGGGAGTAAGCAAACACAGAAAATCTCTGTTCTTTAGATGGAAAAGCACCCAATGGGATTGAACTGAGCAGCGTCCTCCTTTGCCTTTTAACTGCTACTCCCAGTTCACACAGGAGGAACAGGCTGAGAGACTATGGTCATTCAGATGGAAATGGCGGAGCTGGGATCCCCACTCTGTTGGCCCCAGAGAGCCTGTACCTTTGCCAGGCATGGATAGAGCCCAGCTCTGGGACCACGGGCCAACTCCAACATCTCTCTTGGAGCATCTGTTCTCCTCATACCGCATTTCCAAGGGTGTATTAGGGTGCAACCAATGCTCTGTAGACTTGGAGGGGATGGGGGCTGGACCTGCCTCTGCTGGACCTCGGGCCGGCCAAGGGGGCTCACCTTGGAGGCTGTAGACATAGTAGGCATCTGAGTCCACTTCCCTGTCCCCGACGGTGGTCTTGCAGACGTAGGTCTTGTCCTCAAAGGTGCCCGAGAAGCCACGCTGGTGGTCATAGGGGATGGGTAGCGGGACATCCTCCTTCTTCTCGTGCAGTGTCACCACAAGCCGTGGGTCCGTCACTCGGCACGGAATGGTGGTCTCGGTCACCTCCGTGAGGAAAATGAACAGCTCCTCGGGTTCCGTGGGGAGGAAGCTCATGGTGGGATCTGCCGGCGGGGGAGCCAGGAAAGAGGCCAGGGGCACCGGGTTCTTAGCTATCCTCCCACTTGCTATGTGCTCGGAGCTGGCTCTCACCCCTATGCCGGCCCTCAGGTGCCCCAACACAGAATAAAGGTGATGCTACAGTTTGGATGTTTTTGTTTCCTCCAAAACTCGGGTTGATGTGGGATTGTTAAGAGGCGATGAGGCCACAAGGGCCCCACCTTCACGAGGAGGACTGGTGCTGTTACCATCTTGCTCTTGCAGACCCTTCTATGGCCCACCATGGGATGCCATGGCAAGAATATCCTCCCTAGCTGCCAGCCTCTTGACCTTGGGCTTCTCTCCCTCCAGATCTGATGTATTTCTATTCATTATAAATCCGGGGTGCTGTGTTAACAACGGCAAACACCCCTGGTGCTTCCAGACACCCTTTTTTAATACTCTCCATTGTGACAGCGCTAGGGCGAAAAAGGAGCAAAACCCAGGTTCAGGTGCAGCCAGCACCTAATGCTTTGGGGAAAAGTAAAGTGGGCTATGGGGACCAAGAGGAGCAAAATGGAACCAGCTGAGAGCACACAGCCCTCAGGGATGGGGCAGGGAGTGGGCACGTATCCCACCCCGGGCCTGGGGTCAGACTCGATGCCACAGCAGTTCTGCATTTTTAACATGGCTGCCTTTCACAACATTAGGGAACCTCCTCTGGGCTTTCCCTGATGCCTTCAATGGATAGAGAGAGTAAAGGAGGCAGCATATACACAGGCCAGGGTCCTTACCTGGCACAAAGATGTAGAGCCGCTTTCGCTCGCTGGGGTCTAGCCCCTGGGAGCCATTGTAAGTGCAGAAGTACTCGCCCGTGTCCGCCCCAGTGACGTTGACCAGGGTCAGCATGCTGGAGAAGGTGCCGTCTTCATCCACTGTCACTTCCTGCCAGGGCTCCTGGGACATACGTTCCCATACCACTGGAGCTGAACCCAAGCAGGTCAGAGTGAAGGTGCTGGAGATGTTAAGGACCAGCTCTGGTCCTGGAGGAACGATGACCAAGCCCTGGGAGGCCTGAGGTCCCAGCAGCAATAGCAGGGACAGCAGCAGCGACTGGCCTTGGAGACAGGAGGTATTGCAGGTCAGCACTGGGGCCTCATGCCCCTTCTGAGTTGACCCCGGGAAGGAGGTCGTGAAGAGCTTGCCTCCCACCAGACTGGGGTCCCTCCCCACCCCTCTTCTTGGGTCTGGGGCCTGCATATCCAGTGCCAGGACCCCTGGGCTTCCTCCTGGCCTCTGCCTCAGAGGCCGCCAGCTGCTGTGGCCATCAGCAGTGCTGAGCGCAGGCAGCAGGCTAGAGAAAGTGTCAGGAAATCCTCGGGAAACAATCCCCAGGCCTCTGGTTCCTGCATTGCTTCCCAGGTCACTCTCTGTGCCTTCTCCCTGCAGCTGACCAGGTTCCTGTAAGGCCCGCAGCTGGCCTCCTTGGAGGAGCTGGGAGAGAGGGTGTCAGGTGCTCAGGATGAGAGCAGATGGCGCCTGGAGTTGGTGACTCTGGGTACTCAGCAGTTGCTCCTCCCGTCTGTGACTTCTTCTTATACAAATGTCCCTCAGCCCAGACAGGTGGGTAGTTTGCTGGGCAGGCTGTGCATCACTCGTTTGATCAGCCCAAGCCCTAAAGATCGAGGTAGACATGGGTGGGCAGGAGGGAGGGATGCTGAGAGGGGCCCTGGGAGGGACTTGGGGGCTTCCAGCAGATGAGGGGAGTCGATGGGAGAAGGGAGCAGGAGGCAGGGACCAGGCTAGACCCTGGGCTGAGCAGAAGTGGAGGGTGGGGCACAGCCGCAAAGCGCCAACCAGAGGACCTGTGCTGAGGACACTGGACAAGCAGAGGTCAGCTGTTGGGTCTCTCTACTCCCGGCCAGTGGGCAGTCCCAGGGTTTCCATAGAAACCCATAGATGGCTCAGGGACACAGTAGCACTTCTGGGACCCTATACCTTGCCCTCTTCAAGACTCTGCTTGGTGGCTGGCTCCCCAGTCTACTTACCTTTGAGCCCCGGAGCTGGCATCTCAGCCAGAAGCCACATGGTGTCCTGTGGATTAAACACAGTGTTCAGGGCGCATCCTAGCCCCTGGCTACTGAACAGTAAGCCCCAGCCAGGATCACCCAGGCTATGTGTCCGACAGTCTTAAAGTCAGACATCAATCACATGCCCAAGCTGAGGGGTACCCCTGACCACAGGCCCTGTCTCCAACCCTGCCCCTGCCTCTCACAGGCTTTGGTCTCCCTGCCTGTGCATGGGGTGGGGGTAGGGTAACAAGGGGGTTGTAGAGGCTGGGCTGGAGTGTGTGCAGGGGCCTGATGGCTCTGACAGCCCGTTCTCTGGGTGACAGTTCCAATACCAGGCCCCTATCTGCCAGGACAAATATTTGGGAAAGTGTGATGAAAGGCCCAGAGGAGAAGGAAGGGTAAGCCAGAAAGCCCAGGCGGCTCCCACAGCTCCCCCAGCACAACAGGAAATGGAGGCTGCTGTGGGAAGGGAAATGGGGAGGGGGGGTTGTCAGGGCTGTGGAATGTGGTGGGTGGGCTCAGCCCCCCTGCCCCGACTCAGCCCCAAGCAAGCAGCACAGGGAGGCCCAAGAAAGAGGGGACCTTGTGGAACCTAGCTAGGCTGCCAAGGGCCTGGTGTGTGGATGGGGAAACTAAGGCATTGAGGACAGATGGGAGGAGATACACTGTGTGTGAAGTACAGGCAGAGGCAGGGCCCAAGGCGGGCTGACCTCAGGAGGTCCTCTTTCTGTCCCTGCCTCGAACCCCACATAACCACCAAGAGCCACCAAGTCCAGGGTCTGTGCAGCATCAGCAAGAAGGAGGCCAGAGGTAGACAGAGGTCACAGGGCAAGAACTGTGGGCGGCAATCACGGGATGCAGCCACAAGGCACCTCCTGATGCTGCGAGGCACAGCTCTGGCCTTCTCTGGGGTTGCCTGGCCTGGCACTGCCCTAGGGTGACACCCAGCTCACCCCCACCTCCCAGCTCACCCCTGGGAGCTGCCAGTCCAGGCCTGGGGAGCCGGGTTGGAGCCCTGGCCCTCTGGATCTTGTGCCGTGGCCATCTGTGTGGCCATGGAGTGATCGCCAGCGTCCCACCCAGCAGAGCTGCATGCAGGCAACAGGAAGGTGGGGAAACAGAGTCCAGGGTTGGTTCAGAGGGTCCATGGCTAGGGGCCCTGTCTTAGCACATCTGCCCTCCTCTACTGCTTGCACCCCATTCCCTTCAACCCAGCCTACCTGGGGGGTCCCTTTATGTCTTCTTCTCTCTACTCAACCCATCCAGTGGATGCCCTTTCCACAGTATACCCCAGCCCCTTCAGATGGATGCCAGGCCTCCTCCAACAGGAGGCCGGCAGTGCCCCCAGGGGTCCATCCGCCCCTCAGTGGTGCCCCTTTGGCTCCTCCCTGCTTGCTGCCAGAGAGCTCAGCCAAAGAAAATCATGAGCAGTCCTGGCTGGGGGAGGGGCTGATCCCAGCCTCCCACCCCCACACCCCTTCCCAGCCGCCCTGGCTGGCCACACTGTTTATTATTATAAAGGAGGAATCTGGCCGCCTGGCCAGGAGATGAGAGGTCACCACAGAGAGGGGCTGACTTGGCTGGGGAAGGCTGGGCTGGCTGTGTAGGCAGGGCCCTCGTGGCATGTGGGTCCTCCCACTCTCCTCCCCACCAAGCTGCTCCTGCATGCCACTTGGGCTCCCTCTCCTCCAGGACCTCGCCTGCTGGGCCTGCCACTAGGGGAGTCTCTACCTTGCTGAGCTGGGAAGGACTCTTAAGTGATTAGTGGAGGCCCAGTGAGAGACAGATGCACAGCAAAAACAGACATGTAGGTTAGTGGGAAGGGACAGGCAAGGCAAAGAGGCGGAGGGAGTCTATGGAACCCCAGAGGCCCTGGAATGGCTTCGCTAGGAAGCAAATGTTTTCCCACACAAGGATCCTCAGCCTCACTGTAGAAAAGCGCACAGCCCCCTCACCTGTGGATCGGTCATCGCCAAGAGCCATCCCTGGAGTGGGCACTGGACGACAGCAGCTCAAACTGCCATTTGGAACAGCTACATCTCACACTGCAGCCTTGATTCAAGTCATAGCTACTCTGCTTCCAATCCAGCTTCCTGTTATTGTGCCTGGGAGGCAGCAAGCACTTGGGCTTCTGCCACCCATGTGGCAAACCCCAATGTTGTTCTGGGCTCCTGGCTTCAGCCTGGTCCAGCCATGGGTGTTGCAAACAGTAGGGGAGTGAACCAGCAAACAGAAGGTCTCTCTCACCCTCTCAAGTAGGTAAAATAAATAGTATTTTTTAAGTTATGGGCTTCAAAAGTTAGTTTTCCTGATTGTGCAGCACTGCCTTTTTATTTATTAGATACAGAGAATGTTCTTGGTTCACTCATCAAATACCAGCAACAACCCTGAGCAGGCTGAGGTCAAGTGCTGGGAATCTAGTCTGGGTCTCCCACATAGGTAGCAGGAAGCCAAGGTCGATCTAGCACCTGCTACCTCGTAGGCTCTGCATTAGCAGGAAGCTGGAGTCAGGAGCCAGAGCTGGATCAAATGTAGGTGCTGTGCTGTGGGACTCTGGCATCTTCACTACAAGGCTACATGCCCGGCCAGGGAGAAGTTTCCAGTCATTGTCATTCCCATCAGGGTGGCTTGAGGAAGTAGGAGCTGGTTGGAAGGAGAGAGCCACATTCCTGAACACAGAGTCATAGAAAAATCCCAAACTCTTCTCATTGCAAGCATGGAATTTTCCTGTCCTACTGTGTGAACCTGAACAAGTCATTTCCCTCTCTGGGCCCCAGGTTCCCCATCCATACAATTAGGAGTTGGACAACAGGCATTCAGGTGACTTTTCAGCCAAATGAAGTGGTAACATGAACTGTTAGGAGGTGGTAGGGGAGGGGCTGCATGGACAACAGGCTGGAGGACCAGTGGGACACAGGGCACCCGGACATGACCTTCCAGGCCATCATACGTGACTTCCTAGTAGCCTCAGTTGTGCACCTACTGCAGATGGATCCCTTGGGGCTTCCTGTAGGCTGTGTGGATACCACCCACCCAGAGAGGCCCAGGCAGTTACCAAGGGTGGTGGGAGGGGGGCTTGCCTGTGACCACATCCCTTCTTTAGGGGGCTGCGCCATAGGGAGAAGCCCTCTGGGACAACACAAGTGTCACCATCAGGGATGAGGCCCTCCCTCCCTGCTTCCCTGTCCTGCCCAGGGATTGCCAGGGGCCTCCTCCCTTTGCACATGGGGAGGGTGCTGGGTGCCGGGAAGGCCTTGCGATTCCTGCATTTCCAGCCAGAACAGAAGGACAAAGGTCTGGAGAAAGGTCATCACTGCGGATGACAAGGAAGCCCCAGGGGAGCAGGCGGAAGAAGTCAAGGCCAGCTGAGCGGAATGGAGGCCCCAGGTCTGGGGAGCAAGGACGTGTCAGAAGCTGTTCTCAGGGCTCCAACCCTCCCTCCCCCCAGCACATACGCTCCCTGTCTCCTTTCCCACCGCCTTCATCTAAATAAATCCAATCCATCTTGGCCACATCCGCCAGCGGCGGCTTCCCTCCCTCGGGGTCTTGAGGCTCCCACGACACAGGCAGACCGGGGAGGGGGAGGCCCGTGAGCAGTGAGCACATGCATGCGGCACGGATGGCTGCCCACGCACTCACTCACACGCTCCTTGGAATCATGTATATGTACAACCGGCCATGTGCACTCAACATGTGCACGCCCACGTAAAACATGCCTGCACAAAGCTCCCCCTGTGCCTGGGGCACAGGCATAGAACATGGGCTGTAGCTCTCTCACTCGCCCATCAGAGACACAGCCACAGGTAACAGCTCAGGTGAGGGCCCGGCACATACGACATGCAGAGTGTGTATGTGTGTGCAGGACCCTCGAAATACACAACCATAGGCATACCCAGACATGCCAGAAAGTCACCATGCATCATACAATTCAGCACACTGACATGAATTAACTCGCTGGATACTCAGTCCACTGCACGAGGGAGGTGCAGTGATTATACCCATTTTAGTGGTGGGGAAAGTAAGGCAGAGTGCTTGAGAGACTGATCTAGAAACACAGAGCCTAGGGACACATTACCATAGGCCACCTCCTACATCTCCACTTTCCTGATGGAGATGAGCATCTGGTTGGGTCAAGAGAGGACAGAGGGGATGGATAGAAATAGAAAAAGGGGAAACAGATTCAGCTGAGATATACCAGGGCTGGGCCATTTCATGCTGAGCTCTGGGAAGGATGGTATCCTAGGAGCCCACATCCCTGCTTGAAATACTAGGGAGGCAGGAGGGAGTGTGCCCTGAGGAGGCAGAAGGGAAGACAAGGCCATTTTTTAAGACATGAACACAACTGAAGAGCAGAACTGATAGCTGCCCCTGAGGCCTGGGGGGTGGGCACTGAGTGGCCAGTAAGACCTCAGTGTGTGGCAGGGGATGGCTGGACAGGGACAGCTTGGGGATGAGGTGGGAGTAAGCCTTGCTGGGGGAAGGCAGTGCTGCTGCTGCCTCAGGGGTGCTGGCAATAAACAAGGGGAGAGAGGAAGGGGAGGGTGGGGAGAGGGAGGCAGAGGACTGGCCTGGGGGTCAGGGGGTCAGGGTCTTGGAATGCCAGAGCTGCACAGCACCCCCAGGGCTCATCTGCCTGATCCGCCCCGTTTTTTGGATCCCACTGTACAGGGAAACTGAGGCTAGGAGCAGGACAGGGAGGGCAGATGCCACTGCCCAGGTGGCCACCTGACTTAGTGGTCCCAGCTCCCAGCCCCTAGCTGAGATGTGAGATAAGGGTTCAAGGCCACCCTCTCGCTTTCAACAGTACATCCTTTCCCATCTCTCTGCTCTGGTCCAGCTTGGAGGATGGGACTTGCTGAGACGCTGACGGAAGGGGGACGGAGACTCCAGGTTCCTGACCCACCCAGTTCTCGTCCCCTCTCTCCTCCACAGCCCCCCAGCTCGCCTGTAGGAGGGAAGTAAAGGAGCCTGTATTCTAGCCCTCAGTTTGTCTCCCACTTGCAGAATAGGCCTGCCCCCTCT